TGTCAGGTTCGCCTGTCTTTTTTTTGCTTTTTTCATCTTTTTCCCTTTATGTATAGATAGAGTTTAGGGTTTGTGTTTGATTCTTGTTTGTATATGCTTTAAATTTCCAGTCTTTCGTAAATTTTGGCATTATTTTCTTCCTTTATACAAACATAAGAGATTTAATTATTCTGCCAGGATCTAGGTGGAAAAAGTTTTAAAAGAAGATGGGTGATTTTGATAAAGTAGACAACAACCTGTCCGTGATCAAGGGGGGTACTCTCGTCAGTATGAAATTCGATGCAAGTGTTGAATCCTAAGTGAGACTAATTGTTGTTATAGCAGATCGCATTGTGAGTTTTTATTAGATTAGAATATCACACTTTAAGAATGTAAAGTACCTTGTACTTTCATTAATGAGTAGTTCCGATGAATAAAGACAAGATTGCTTAAAAAAAAAAAAAAAAAAATTTAAAAAAAAAACAAAAAAAATAATAATTTAAAAGGTAGTTAATTTAAAGATAATTTTTAAAAAAAATGCTATGTAAAAAAAAATAATAATATAAATTATAATTTATTCAAGTTGATAAAAAGTTAACAGATCAAAAAGATAGTTAAGCAGAGATACTCTGGTCATAGTAAGATACAGCTGAAATTGGTATTTCAGTTTTAACTAAGAGTGTTCTCAAGTGTCAATCTTTATCTGATTAGCAAGTGATCACAATGATACTCAAGCAAAATTATATTTACATAAAATTTTTATTAAGAATTCAAATATGTAATTTATGATGTAATTGAAATTTTCTCAAGCATCATCTTCAATGTGATTAATTAGTGATCGTAATGGTGCTCATTTAATAGAATCAATTGAAATAAATATTGCAATTAGTATTTGAGCTGTTTTTTTATTATTTGTCAAAAATAAAAAAGCAAAAAATAAAAAAACAAAATCAACTGTTAAACAAGAAGCTAATGCCGTGAATTATTGAAAATATTCTGCATCAACTTTAGCAGCCCCTGTTGCTCCATTTACCGATTTCACCAATTATAATATGTTATTCCAACAACAATATTCCACCTCTCCATTTTTTATGAATCCATTAGTTGCAAATAAAGCTGCTATTGAATACAAAGAGGTGTTATTCACATATTTATTTAGAAGCATAATAATTTAATAATAATTTTTTTTTTGTCATAGGTGTCGAATAATTTAGAAACAGTTTCTAATGATGATTCAGTTTCGGATACAGATTCTACCTCTTTTGAAGTAATAAACAAAAAACCATATTGTTTTTTGAGCCTTCTGGTTTTTTTTAGCATTCATAAAAACATTTAGTGTGAGAGAGAAAATAATAATTCATTGCTGAACGTAATGATCCATGGCAATGTTACTTGTACGGTCTTTTTGAAAACTCAATTGATTGTAAAATTTTCAAGACGGGTATAAAAAAAGGATGTTTGTTGCAAAAAGGTTGTTGATTTAAATAACACTTTTATTTCAATCTTTTTTATTAATAAAAATATCATATTTACGTAATAAGCTTTATCAATTATGCATATTCATCTTAATGATAAACATGCTTGATTAATTTAACCTATTTTCCGCTAAATAAATTTTATTTCCTGTGCTTGAGAACACCCTAAATTGGGAAACAATGAATTGATAGGTGTATAAGAGTTCGCCAGGGCAACTCCCAAAAGTCTGAGCACATGATAAGATGCATAATTTCTTAGAAAAATTGTTGAATTGTCTAGCTCCTACATACAGCTTTATTGTTGTAAAATTTCTTAAAATGAAATATATAACAAATCATTATTAAGCTATAGCTGTGGCATGCAAATTATCTGACTGGACTTTTGGGGGTCGCCCTGGTGAACTCGGTTGCATAAGAGCATATTACAATTAGATAAAACTCACCACCCAAATTTTTTTTAGATCATGTGTAATTATTTATAATTCATATATAAAACAAATAACAGCACAAAAAAAATGAAACTGGATACAGCAATAATTAAATTTAGTATCTTCGCTTCATTTTGCTTTGGACAATCATATTATATAATCTGAAAAAAATTTAGGTGGTGAATTTTACCCAATTCTGCAATTGCATATTATAGCTGTTTACATTAAGTTTGGGACATCTGATAAAAAATTGAACAAATTTTTGTTTGGCTAATTCAATAAGTTTTTTTGGTAATAAGCAATTATGTAATGTGTATATCTTTCTAATGATAGAGATAATGTAATATCGATATCACTATTTTTGTGCTTCAGATTATATTAGATTCAACTACTATTACTTCAGACAAGTTGATATTTCAGATTCAATAGCAGTTATTTCATACAAGCTAAACATTTTTAAAATAGTTACTATAGACGAACAAGCCAATAGTTCATTAGATCTACCATTTCAATATTTTCATATGATTCATACTGATTTGCTTTTTTGGTCTATATTTTAAAATTTATATTACATAAATATATGAAATACTTTTATAGATTTTTGCCATGACTTTGTTTATAATTTTCAATGCAGTTTTGACAAATATTAATTCACAAATTTTCGTACAGACTAAATACACCAAACAAACTAGACATACATTATTACGGCTAATTTGAACTATACCCCAAAATTTAAGAGTATTAACTAATCTGTAGGGGTGGAATTATCATTTGGTAGTGTAAAATTTTGTATTACGTATCTATTACTACATATCGATATTGCGTAATTAAAAATAAGATTAATAAGTTATGCTTATAATGTAATTTATTGCTTACTGTATTTATAATTACAGTATAATGAATTATATTGATCCTAATAATAAAGTATTTTAAGTGCCTATTAATTTAGGTGTCTTTGTATAAATCGATCCTTTCTATAATGATAATTGTTCATATAATAACTAATTTATTGATGCATTTAAATCACATACCGATATGATAATAATCATTTTTTAATTATCTTAATAGCAATGTTATATAAAATTAAACAAAGAAATATATATATATGATGGAATGTTTATATTGATTTATTAGTGATATATAGTACTTGTAAATTATAATACAGTATAAGGTTTTTTTATTGTTTGATTGTAATTCTTATACTTTGATCATCGTAATTGCAATCATTATTTAAAATCTTTTTTATACAATTTCTCTTTCGATTTAAAATAACTATGAATTCAGAAGAACTTCATGATTATTCTAAAAAAGCTAAAATTGAATACAGAAATAGATCTAGTGGCACTTACTATTATATGATTATTTCTGAAAGTCATTATCCAGCACTATCTATTCTTGCTAAAACTCAAAAAAAAAATAATTGTTATAGAATTTCTGATGATTACAAAGTTGTAGTTAGTTGGGGTAAAAAAACAAAATACGAAATATAACATGTTCTATTAATTACATGTATCACAATATAAACAATAAGATTTTATTAAAGTTTTGTTTTAAAATTGAATCCGAGATATATACAATTGAGTCATGGAAAAGTGCAACTCATGCGGCAAATTTATTCGCTTAGGTAAATAAGTTTTTTTTCTTTTTTTTTTTTTTTTTTTTTTTTTTTTTTTTATTTATTTCTTCGGCAAGTCTAGTCATGACTTTGGTCCAGCTATATTATAGTTGACTCTATGCTACTAGTGTCACAGGACCTCCATAACCCCATACGGGTATCATGTGTATCCACCTGGTATCCATTGTCCAACATTTCCCCAGTTCCCTCATTGGGGTCTAGGTCTGACCACCTGCACGACACTCCGGAGAGGCTGAAACACCTTATCCTTGGACTGCTATTTCACGAGCCAATCGGGTGGCACCACAAGTTTATGTAGTACCCTCACAGACTTTTTAGACCTCACATTACGTCTCGTGACTTTGGTTATTCCAAATCGGGGTTCTAGCATGGCTTTTCTTCACAGCCACAGCTTCTCAGAATAATTATTTCCTGAATATGTCTATCCGTAGATATCCCAGGTTTCCTGTACCCCGTGGTGTTTCACTTCCATATTTGGTTTTTCATTATTTTGCCACTAGGAGGAATTGAACTGGCAACCTTACAATTTGTAACCTGAGAGCATAACCGCTATGCTATCGACCCACAGGTTAATAAGTTCTTTTTTTAATATATATTTTTTAAAATTTAATATATATTAAAAAAACAATTTTTTAAAAAGACTTACAACTCTAAAGGAACATCAATATTATCAGAGACAATAGTATTTAGATTACAACTTAGATGTGTGGAACAAGTTAGAGATTTTTGCTATAGATCAAATGTTTTTCGCCCTATTGAAACTCTCAGTAATTCAGCTAAAACATCTCGAATTAAACATATTGGTAAAGGAATTCATGATTTTATTAATGATAAAACAACATATTTAGATCATAAGAATCAATTACAAATAAAGTCTCTTACTTTATCAGTTGGCAATCAAAATTGAATAGTTAAATATTTAAAAGATGAAGTTTTAGAACTGCAAAAAAAAAAAGCTTTTATTCATACAATGGATTATAATTATATTCTACAAAATGCTATTCGTTCAATGGCAAAAATTACACCAGAGTTAGATCGTGAATATATGATTAGTAATGAAAAACTTAATCTTGATAACTTAATGCAAAATATTATACCTCTTTATGTTACAGATATTAATATAAATACTTCAGCACTATCTGTAATAAATAATGAAGAAATTCATATAGATAATGAGGAAGTAATTCGGGGTATAACTAAGTCAATTAGAAAGGCTAGTTATAGAAGTATCAAAAATATTTTAAAATATATAATTCCATTTTACATTGAAAGTATATTAGATCCAAATAATCCTTTAATTATGTTGTGAATTTCAGGTGATGGTAGAAATGTGGGACACCAAGTAAAGCATGTTATGGTAACATGTTCAATTCTAAATGATATTGATAATTTATGGATATCTGAATGGCATTATACTGTAGCTTTATATCCTGGTGTTGAAGACTATCAACTTTTACAAAAAGCTTTAGCATCATTAATTCAAGACTTACAAGATATTTCTAATAATGGAATTATTAATGAGTTTAATATAAAATGGACTATCAACCTTTATTTTTCATCAGATTGAAAATTTCTCGCTCTATGTCTAGGACTAAATGCTGCAAATGCAACATATTTTTGTTCTTACTGTAAATGCTCCAAAAAGGAAATAGGATTGTATAATAAACATCAGAACAAAAAAAATATAAATATGCTATTTAACAATTGTAGTTCTTGTCCTGGACATATTTGACAACCACTCTTTTTTATAATACCACTTGAAAATTGGATTCCAGATGAACTTTATATATTGCTTAAAGTTACAGATCGCTTATAGGGTTTAGTATTAGCTGAGATTAATATTAATATAAATGAAATTAGAAATATAATTAGTGAAGAAATGAAACGAATTAGTATTGTTTTTAATTTCTGGCAAGATCATAACTCATGCACATGGAAGTTTACTTCATTATCAGGAGATAAAAAGCTTAAAATGCTTTGTGAATTTGATCTTACTAAGCTTTTTAGTCAACAAAGAGCTATGCTTATTCGACAACTTTGGGATGAATTTTATAAACTTTATATATTATTGCTTAATACTAAAACTACCGCAGATGAATTTGAAAACAAGGCAAAAAAATGGATAGAACTATTTTAACACCAACTTCAGGAATACCCAATTCACCAAATTTTATTAAAGGACTTTATAAACCATCTGACATAACACCTTACATGCATCTTCTTTGTAATCATATTTCAAATATGATTCAGAATCATAGCAAATTAGATCTTGAAGCATTTTCATGTGCTTCAGTTGAAAAAAAAACCATCAACATACAACATACTTTTTTAATAGAACTTTAAAAGATGGTAAAAAAAATAAAACTCAATATTAGAAATTTTACAGCATGAGAATAGATTATTATATTACATTAAAAATAGAATACTATTAGCTTTTAAAAAACTAAATATATTCATATAAAGTAGAAATTATTATTTTATTTTCTAAATAAATTAATAAATATTAATATAGTAATTATTTAATAAAAATATTTAATTACCTTTGAATTTGATAGCTAATTGTATCTATTTGAAATTTAATAATAATAAATCCTGTAGAAATAGTATTTTTATGAGCATCAGTTATTGTTTCAGTATGCCATTCTACTTTCATTTCAGGCATTTTTTGAGTATCAGATATCGATGCAACATATAACATTACATATGCCTTTTGTTCAAGTTCATACCATCAACCACTTCATTTATTGTCTTGCAATATCATTCCCATTGTTGCATCTGCATCCTGACCTTTAAAAGAACATGTATATTTTCTTTTACAAGGTGAGTAACATTGAATCCATGGCCCAAATACTCCAATAAATTGACTTTCGCTATATGGTATTTTGATTGTTTGTTTTCCTGTTTTTTTAAAATGAAGTGGCAATTGTTTCTTAATAAAAAATATTAACGTTTTATGAAATTGTTGAATTGCATTTGGAGGTAAATAAGGAATATCGGATAGTGGTATTTTGTAATCATAGTGTTTGAGGGTTTCATATTGATAAAGCCCTTTTAAACCTTTGAATCATTTTATTTGACATAAAATGCATTGGTAAGGCTTAGATACTTGTTGATTTTTGGAACTTTCATTATTTGGCTTCATTATTTCAGCATAAAGTTTTGTCGAATTCATAATAACTAAACAATAATTTAAATAGCCATTAAAAAAATAATATATGTATAATTAATTAAAAATAATAATTATATTTAAGTCTATCTATTTAATAATAATAATAATTACATTCATACGTACAAAGTAAGAGAACTTAATTGCTATATGACTAATGACAATGGATACATATCAATAAATAATCTAAATTAAAATATGTGCTGATTAAGCTACACTGATAAGTGTGTGATTGCCCATCCCTAATAATTACACCATTAATAATTATTATTTTTTTCTGAAAAAAGTAATTGGTTGGAGGGTAGGGTAATCGGTTAGATGTTAGTTCTCTTATGAGATTTTTTATTTTGGGGGACTTTGCAGTGGCGTACAAGTCAGTTGATTGTCCAACATTTAACAAAGAATTATAATTTTAAGGGGTCGTCAATAAAATTTGATCAAATTTTACAGTTTTAGTGTTTAAAAAAAAGGTCTAAAAAACTAAATTAGCCATAATGTTCAAGTAAAAAATTAATTTTTGATGTGTTGACATTGTAGCCCAAATTCAAAGTTTATTACTACTGAATCGGACAAATAATCATTCGGTCCAAAATTAATGAAAACAGCTATAATACAGATGAGTACCTTTTAATCTGCTGCCTGTTTTGGTAACTCTATGAATATAATAATATATAAATAGCCAATACGGAAGAAGGCATCACCAAATACAGAGCAAAATCGCACCCAAACCCTTCTACCAAGAGTAGCGATCCATAGCTTTAAAATCCTAACTATCTGAATAATTTTCTGATTCTATGCGGATTTATAAATAAACTATCTGAAAAATAATTATACTTGGATAGACTCAGATTATTCGTTAAATATCCGGTTATCCATTTTGATATTAATCTGTGACTACGTATAAATAAGATTAATATTATCTATATATAAATAATATATAGATCATTATTATTATTTTATTTTTTTTCATTAGGCTGCACAGAGTTAAATTTTCATCTTCAATGGTCGGTCGGTCGATTTTTTTTTTAAATCTACAGTAATTAATAGACTTATGTTCATATTTAAGGCCATGCATAGTTAATTTTTCGCTTTAAATAACATGGAATCAGAAATTAGGTCGGCAATTGGATTTTTTTTTTATCAGTTTTATCAGACAATTCCAGAAAAATGAGGTCTCTATCAGGTAATACCAGATTAATTTATGGAAAAAATTAAATGGCAAAAATAGAAAACAATTGGCACAATTAAAACTTAAAAAAACAAAAATTCGGAAAATTGAAAAAATGAGTCAGCGGGTAATGCAAAACGAAAATTTAACTTTGTGTAGCCTTATCAATACTTTCATTAAAAATGTCTACTTCGAACAAAAGACGAAACATACCTCTAACATTTGAAACTAATGAATCTTCTAAAGAAGTTATTACATTTGAAGAAATTTCCAATACTATCTAAATTGGCAAGAATTTATCTACCCATTCCTGCAACATCCACTCCAAGTGAATGTTTATTCAGTGATGTAGGTAACTTAACGATTATAAAGAGAACAAGAATTTCTCTGGAACTTTTTAAAAGAATGATACTATTAAAAAGGAATATCGATCAATATCAAAATATTTATCTTGAATAATATATTATTATTTAGCTTTAGTGTTTATTCATCTCTAATAATATGTTATTATTTCGATCAGAATATCTGCAAAAAGGATAACGAATAATCTAATATGATTTAATATCAAATTCGGATATGTCTGTTTAAAAAATATCTGTGTTAAATCCGGATATAGTCATCCGGATTGCTACCCTACTCCTACCTAGGCAGAACCCTGACGTTTGTGGTATCTACAAAAGCTTAATATCAAAAGTCAGCCTGTGTTATGAGTGTGGGAAACCACCAACTATTGCTACACATCTTGAATTCAGCTGATTATAGTGATACTGTATACAGTACCCAGCATGACAAATAATAAAGATCAATTTTTTAAAATATTATTTATATGTACTATGTGATGTAAACAATTGTTATACACGTGATTTTTAATTTTTCACTATGTAAAAAACTGTGCCACACTGGATACTGTATACAGTGCTAAACAGTACTCAGTGCAATAATAGTTGCTATTTCCGGGAGCATGTCCCATCTCAGTCTGTACACCAATTGTACTGATAAATATTGTGCATTCTCAATAAAAATCGGTTAAAAAAAATTAAAAACCTCACATCCAGGTTCTAAGATCTGGTGAAGCAAATTCAAATCACGTGACTTACATAACATACAATCGAGACCTAATCTAAAAAAAAATTAAAAACTTAAAACTTAAAATAATATTTAGATTCTAAGTAAGCCTAAGAATTAAAAAAATTAAAACTCATATTCAGGCAATGCCTAAGCCTAAGAGCTAATATAGTTTAAACTTAAGAATTAGCAAAAAATTAAATACTTAAATCTGAACAATATTTAGTTTTAAGAGTCAATATATTAAGACCTAAGAATTAGCAAAAAATTAGAAACTCGAACCCGAGCAACGCCGGGTCCTAAGAGCTAGTTTAACAGAACTAAAATATTTAAGCATGTGAAAACCTTTAACCTAAATGCAAACAGTGGTAATTAGTTTATATAATCAAAATCAAAATCGTATTTTATCTCAGAACTGTGATCATTCATCATTATTTATAATTATCCTTAAGATATTATATGGTTAAAATAAAAAATAAAGTAAAAATTAGCCTCTTTACAATTTCTTAATGAAATTTAAATATCGTTTAACCATTATCAAGAGACTATATTAAAATATGAATTTAAAAAAAAAAACTCCAAGCAATAATTAGGTTCGAACGTGCGAATTTAGTTTGATCTTTAAATGGGTTATGTCAATTAAATCTATATTCAATAAAATAGATATATAAAAATGATTAAATATTAAATGTGTAGCAAAAGAAACTTAGCATTGATATTATGTAGATGAATAGAATAGCACATGTTGGCGGAAAAGCCACCCAGCCAGTCCAATATCACTTATAAAAATTGTAATTAATAGATTAATTGTTCTACTATATCAAAAACAGACAAATATTGGCTGTTATTTTACATGGTTTAATCACACAGAATATATATTGGGAGGCAAAGATATCGATACGTATGTGTACGTACGTACGTACAAACACGTATCTGATAAGTAAAAAATCGGATATTTAACGTTAAACCTTTAGTCAGGTGATTATTCATAAATCTGCAGCTTTTCATCATGCTAAATACATAATAATGAAATAAGGATCATGTTTTAAACCGGTTAAGTCAAGCCATTATTAATTATTTATGAATTTGAAATAGTAATCTAATTCTTTCGCTATGATTATGAACTTTGACGATCAATTATTAATTCATTTGTTTCATTTGTCCGGCAAAACTTCAAACAAAAAAAAAATGATTAAAGCTCAGAATTGGTTTAATTATTCTAAGTGAAACATGAAGAAATAGTTATGCAAAGCTTTTTTAACAGCAGTTTATTGTGTTAGTATCTATTATGAAATACAATTATCAATTTGAATTCGAAGTTGATATTGCAATAAATATTGAAGTTGATATGTATTGCAATTGATACGTATTGAAGTTGTTTTACAAAAATGACGGATGAAAATTCCTTTCTCAGAATAAGTAGATCCAATTAATCTAATCCACATACGGTAGAAAGTTTGTTACAATCTAATCTATATACGATAGAAAGTTGTTACAATCTAATCATGCATGGCAAAAAAATAGTTACGATCTATTCGCAATATTCATGATCATATATAGCAATGAGACTTAAAAAAATCGTTAAAATAACTTGAGTGCCAGCCAATCAAATTTCAATTGATTTCGTCGATAGTCTCAAAACTCCATTTAAAAGTAAGATACTTCAAAGGTTTTTGGTAAAAAGAAAAAATATAAATAGTATAAAAATATGAAATAGCAAAAAAATTTATTATAATAAAGAAAGCTAGTTATATTGTAAGATGTAAATGGTAGCTTTTTTTCACAAAACTATAGATCGTCAAATTTTATGATAACTATGCTAGCGGTAGAATTTAGCGGAATTTAGCATTTGTGTATATATAACATTAAATATAAATACTTCAATATAAGAAAGTTAAAGCAAAAAACTTGATATAAGAAACTTGCTAATAAACTCTCGATATAAGAAAAGTTTTGTAAAATTTTTACTATTGGCCCCGTCATCTTTCTTATATCAAGATTTACTTGTATTTGTAAAATTTATTAATTGTCATGGCTGATGCTAATATTGCCTAATGCTGAAATTTAACCTTTTTGATATGAAATTTAAAAAATTTTAGGGTGTTTTCTTTGCCTTTTTTTTTTAGAGTTTGGGGGTTATAAATGATAATTAAGAGTATATATGGATTTTAGCGGTTCATATTTTCAAATAATACCCAAATTTCAGCATCGGCCGTAACATTATCTAAAAAAAAAAAAAACCCCCGTCTTTATGAAGTTATTGGCATAAAAAGCATAATTTAATGCAATTAGCAAGCATAATTTGGCATTTTTAGCAGCATAGTTCTGAATACTCTACCAGTAACTAATGATACAAAATATAATAATTATTCAATTTGTATATCAATCATGGTAATTATAATCGAAAGTGAAAAACCAAGTCATTC